TGCAACGAAAAAAGAAATAACAAAAAAAGCAAACTAGTTAATCAAGTTGGCATTGGTAATTTTTCTCGAATGTAAAAATGACGTATGTTTCTGGTGCATGTATTTCTAGAAATTAGTAGTTCAAGGAGCCTTGAGCTTTATCAACAATAGAAAAAAAGCATGGTCTAATTGGGTTTCAAGTTAAGAGGGGAAGTATAGATATAAAACTAATTATTTTATTCTTTTAAAAAATTGAAATGGCATATTCATGGGAATAATATGAGGCATCATTTTTTTACAATTACACTAATGGCCCAAACCACTAAAGTAAAATTTGCTGTGTTTCAGAGTTTATGGGAACTGTGTCAAAAAGCTCGTAATTTTTTCCGAAGCACTTGGGTAATGGATTTTGTTAAAATTGACTATTAGTATGGTTTTATTACCATGCTGTTTGGTAGTAATTGAGTTTTTTTTTTACTAAATGTGTAGTAATACGAACTATACTTTTGAAATCCGGAATTTTGTGTAAACCGTTACCATACAAACGGAAAATTACAAAATGAACGGTTTAAATACCGATCTGTTTTTTTTTCATTAAGAAAGTCATTAATTAATTAATTAATTTTACCGATAATTTTACCAGAATTTTTTCCCGAGTAGAAGTGGTAAATAAATAAAGCACCGTCTTGCAAACTAAGCCAAAGCAAATACAAGATTTTATATAGACACTTTTCCCCAAAATGACATTTTGCGATTCAATTTTACTGCTGTACAAAACCAAATTGAATTATTTTTTTTCTTGATTTTTTGGTGTAACATTTTATTTTAATTACTTAAATTAGTTACCTTTAATTTTTAAAATTGAAACTTCATGGGAATCAATATTTATAGAAATCAATTAAAGCATACAATTTTTATTTCTATGACAACCAGATAAGGTTCATTCTTTCTCCTTTATATAGTACAATTTTTTTATGCAGATTTAACTGCAAAAAGAAGAAATAGATTTTAACTATCATCTAATAGCAATAGAATTTAATATTTTTCAGGAATATCGCTGCGCTGTGGACGCCGTCATTATAAATAATTCTTGATATAGCTAGTGAATTAAGGTTGAAAGGAACATAGGAATAACGGAAATGAGACGGCCTTTCAGGGAATGGACGAATCAGTTAATGTAATAATCTCAGTCGTAGGATGATTCAGTTTTTTTTTTTAAAAAAACTGGAACTTATGTTTGTATTTCTAGTGAAGGACACGGAGAAAAAAATTCTGGTAAGATTACCGTCCTGTACCACATCTCCATTTATTTTTATTTTTAGTACAATGCTTAGTTTGAATTTCCATTTGCACTCATTACTAAAATTAATTACGTCTTTAGTCAATAATATTATGGCAATTTTTTACAATCCCCTTAAAAGAATAAGTACATTTTCTCCATTAATTTTGCTTCGCTAACATAGCTATGTTTTATTAAATTATTACTTAATAGCAAACTTAATCAAGTATCATTGCCGTTAAAAAGAGTATGACAATTTCTTACGTCTCCTATGCGAATTAATACTTTTTCTCTAATAATTTTGCTTTTCAATACAAAACTTATTATATATTTTTTTTTATTTCAAATACTGTTGATTTAGAATTATTTAGTTTTATAGATTCACGTATTAAAAGTATAACTATAAACAAAACAGAAACACGTGGTTTCAAACAATTTCAGGAATACTAATTTGGTGACCTAATCCACCAATGCTCTCATGACAATGTTGGATCATTAAGTTTATTTGACAAAACAAATAAAAATTAATGAAATATTTAACAACGTGCTAAAAACTTCTTTTTCTAATAAGAGCTATAAGCTGGCAAATATCACAATCTTTGAAATGTTTGAACTAAAGAAAATCGTCTGCAGTCTCATTTTTATCAATAGCGAGTACTAAGCTAATGAAAAAATTATATTTTTCTTAATGCTCTACTGAATGAATTAATTTAAAATTTCGAGCGAATTTTAGGATCGGGGGCTAAACTTGCCCCTTGAAGTAGTTAGAATTTCAGGATGATAGATTAAGCCGATCTGGAGTTATAAGAGAGACAGAATACGCTCGCATAGTACATCGTTCAATACCCAGTTCATTCTAAAAGAGTAGTGCAAAACCTCAGAAAGTTCTGTTGCATTAGTTTTTTATGAAAATCATCTTTTTCACAGCAATACTTTTTTAAAAGAGAAATTTTTATTCTCAACAATTAAGACTAAAAAAATTGTTGATGACATTTTTATTAAAAAAATGTTCAAGTGTTGTTTCATATGATTAATGTCAGACTAAAATATTCCTTTTATTGAATTTTTAGAAAAAGAAAGAAAATACTATTTTTTTTATATTTATAATATCACAAACCCAAGAGATTCACTCTTGATAGACCTGAAAATTTAAATTTTCAGTTAGTAGGCAGTGGTCAGTAAACTCTAATAACTTAGTGGCTACTTTGTCCTCAAACCTAATGAGTCTATAACCAATAGGCCCTATTCGTTTAATGTGACAGCCATTTTTTTTTGGATTAAATTATATCTCTTAAAAAAGAATCTATTAGAAATAATCTACGGCTAATGAAAAGTTAATTCAACAATAAAAATTTTATAAACATATGACAAAATGCAACTAAATAAACTGACTTCGTCACTGAGCTAGAAAATTCCATTCCCTCAATTTTTTTTTATTAAGAAAAGATGGGAATAAATGTCCAGTTGTTTATTTTATTTAAGTCGCCACTTTTTATCTTTGACTCGTCACGTGGCGAGGAGCGAGTGGTTACTTTTAGGTATACCCTTCATGCAATACAAAGCAGTCACAAGCTGACAACAATTTTAACAAATAACGGGTTTTGTTATTCGATTTTTCTAGAACGTAAGAATACTAAAAATTAATACTTTTACTTCATCTTCCCTCGAGATTGATATGGTGGCAGGAGGGGGCTAATCAAGGTATGACCTTGTTTACTAGACATCTGGTCTCGAGCGTTTATTAGAAGAAAAAATGAATTATCTCGACAACTAGAGAGAAAGAGAAAACTAAAAGAGCAAACAGCTTAATGAAATAAGCGTTGCATACTAACGCGAACAAGATGACTTGAAAATAAAAAAAGAAAACGATTTTAATTTATAGTGCGTAATGATTACGTAATGGGGAAGTCAGAATGTTCTAGAAAGCGGCAAAACTATTTTGATTATAATAGTAATGATTTGACGCTGCATATATTTAACAAAAAAATATTTATTTTCTCTATAAAGTTTTTTTTTGTTAATTATAATTTCATTTTACTTGCGCTACATCAACACAAATTACGTATCATTTCTTTTAAACTTCCATTAATATTTCATGGCGAAGTTGTTTATCTTAATATTATTTTTTATTAATTGCTATTGTGCTTCGCTTATAAATCTTTAACAAATTATACAAATATTATATCTCAATATATATCTTCATCGATTCGAATAATATCCGAGTATATATCTCTTTCACTTTTTATTTGATTTTATTTAATATTTAGCTGTATAATAATCAATAATATGGTCAATTTGCACGCAGGATATGTCTTCTTTTCTAGCTTTTTTAAAACCTAAAATACTCCGCGAACCAACCCCCGGGAGTGCTTCACATTCTTCTTCTATTTCCTTTCTTTTTTCTATCTCAAAAGTTGATATTTTTCACAAATAAGGAAAATTTTTCGATTTTTATAATTTTATCTACAAACTTTCTGTTAATATGTTAATCATACAGAAAAATACGATTGCTATAATTTGATAAATGTTTAACCGCATTGGAAAACAATAAACTTAGAAAAAAAAACATTGTATGACACAATAAGAAAGAAATAAGAGATAATTTTACTCGTCAATGATACTTTACAATAACATTATTCCATTATAGCAACTCAAATTGGAAACGGCTGTTAACACTCCTGAGTCTCTTATATTTGTGTGACATAATTAAAAAAACAAATTGTATGGCACAATAAGAAATAAATAAGAAATAATTTATACTTGTCAATGATACTTTACAATAACATTATTCCATTATAACAACTAAAATTGGAAACGGCTGTTGACACTCCTGAGTCTCTTATATTTGTGTGACATAATTAAAAAAGCAAATTGTATAGCACAATAAGAAATAAATAAGAAATAATTTATACTCGTCAATGATACTTTACAATAACATTATTCCATTATAGCAACTCAAATTGAAAACGGCTGTTAACACTCCTGAGTCTCTTACATTTGTATGACAAAATTAAGAAAAAAAAACAGATTGCATGGCACAATAAGAAATAATTTATATTCGTCAATGATACTTTACAGTAACATTATGCCATTATAACAACTCAAATTGGAAACGGCTGTTAACACTCCTGAGTCTCTTATATTTGTGTGACATAATTAAAAAAACAGATGGTATGGCACAATAAGAAATAAATAAGAAATAATTTATACTCGTCAATGATACTTTACAATAACATTATTCCATTATAGCAACTCAAATTGGAAACGGCTGTTAACACTACTGAGTCTCTTATATTTTTAAAATTTTTAAAATATTTTAGATGTCTCTTGCAACATCAGATCTCTCTCATTTTTATTTATATTTTCTTCTTTCTTTTTGCAGTAAAAGGGAATATTAACCTGTAAAAGGGATAGATCGAGAAAGACAAATAAATTCTTTTACAGCATTAGATGAATAGTCATTTTTTAAAGCAGAAAAGGTGAAAAAATGTCTCGAATTAAGTGATTATAATTTCAATAATTTTTGAGTAAATTGGGATTTTGCAAAAAAAAATAAATAAAACTCGCTTCAAATATTATTTTCTTTTTATTCCATCGCACCCTTAGCATATTTTCATTCCTTTCATTTTTACATATTTTTTTTATGGGACTGTCACACATTTTATATTTAAAAAAAAAACTGGCCCAATTAACACATTTTTTAAAGGAAGCAGTGACCAAGTGACAAAAAAATGTCTAGTTTAAAAGTATCAAACATTATTTAATAGCTATACCAAGTAATTGTGGTCTAAAATAAAGTAATAGTTTAGGAGGGTATTTAGTTTCACAATATACATCGCTGAAGCCAGCTTTTCGGATGGAATCCTCATTGTTTCGAATGGGCCAGCACTTGTCAAAGAAGATATTCCATATCGGCGTAACAAATATTTGAAGCATGTATCCCCATTCCTTTCTTGGAAAGGCAACGTGTTCCAGAAAGATATATTTTCCTCCCTAAGAAAAGATACGTAAATTAGTTAATGCGAAGAAGAAAAAAAATTAAAATGCAATAGGGGGAGAATGTTGTACCTCGGACATATTTTTCTTTTTATTTTAGCTTTCAGTTGCCAAGCCTGAAGATTGCGTCGCAACAATTGCTATTTTTTAGCATATAAGTTTTTTTTTTTTTTTTTTACGAATGTTGAAAATATTTACTTTAAATACATGGGCTAAAAAGATTTCTGTTAACTTAAGCTCGTTCTCTCCCTTCCCACGTCCAACATTCATGTATTTAAATTAAATGTTTAATTTGAGTCGTATATCATATGTAAATAACATAAAATATCTCATTTGATTCTATTTCTTCTATGATTCTATTAAGATCTGTTTGTGAACATAAATGACTTTGCTTATTTATCTTTTTTTTTTTAAGAAAAAAAATTACATTTGAAATTGAAGATAGATTGTTCTAACAAATTTGGGGAGCTCACAACTGAAATTTAATATTTTCGCTTACCAAACGAGCTGATATATTAAATAAAATTTGTGCACGCATTGCATTGTGCATGAAGCTGATCGTTAAATTTTAAACCAATTGGGTATAATATGAAAAAAGCACAACTACTTCCACTTACTAGGAATAACATTTACCTTTTAGTTTAATTAATAAACTGAGTTTTAAATATGCTTACTAAATTCATAAACTTCGCTAAAACAACAATATAAATTATTTCCAAAGGAACTAGACTAATACAATTCCAGCCTGGCGAGTAGCGACTTATAACAAGACACTTCGTTTGATGCTTTTACTTGTTGCTAGAAATCAGGTTCGCAGAAAATGCTGTTTACTAGTTAAATTTAGTAGGAATAACACGATCTGTGACGTAGGCTATAGTATACCCAATTAACGAATCTCTTAAAGGATAATTTAAATACATTATATATTAATGCAACTATATATGTTACTATATAGTTGCATATTAATACAACTTATTATGTTAATGGGCTTATCCTCATGATTTAGATTAACTCTAAACCAGGTCCTTGAAATTGAGCAAATGTTGCATGAACTTAGAGGCAACCATCGATGCTTTTAAGAATAGATCTTCCACTGTAATGTTAAGGCAGTCCAAGATGTACTCCTGAGATGTTGCGGCTTGAACATGGTGGCAAATTTTTCATTCCCTTTTCAAATCATATGTTCTGACCAGTTTTGAGTCTATAAAGCATTACTGAGATGCTTTAAAAGACCTCAAACTATGAAAGTTCACCACCAGAGTTGCTGGCATGCCGATGAGGAGCAAGAGCTTGACGCTATGGTCTAGTTTCTTCCTCAAATTGAAAAGATGATCATTATTAGAAAGAGGTATCTCTTTAGTTCCAGATAGGTCTTTGGCTCCGGATTTTAACAAAGCATCACTCCTTTTATTTCCTGGTCCTCTTCTTGCTTTCAAATGTAAGTTCTGGGATTTACTATCTCCTAAATGTTTTACTTTTTGATACTTAATACATTAGGTATCGTATAAATACATAGCTAACACGCTTAGGTTTCTAGCGTAAGTTAGGTTTTCAAGTAAAATGTTTCCGGTAAATGGCTTTAAAACTTTAATTTTTGCATCTTGAAAGCACCGTAGTCATGACAGAATAACCCACGGCTAATCTTTTATTTTAGCATATAAAACAAGGTAAGCAAAAATATTAACCTCTCCGATGCGGCGCTGCTTTTTGAACTTTTACTGTACTTGAAATGAAAAATAAACAAAATAAATTCAAATAGTAAAGAAAGCATTACTAAAGAAACTTACTGGTTTAAGTACTCTTTTCACTTCTTTCAGTACATCATTGACACTTTGAACAGAACACAGAACATGAGTGTTGATGACCACATCAAACGACGAATCGGGCACATCTTTCATGTCTTCTGCCATGTTTAAAACCGTCCTTCTATAATTCACCTGAGGATAATTCTTTCTATTTTTGTTGAAAACTTTCACAAATTCTGGATTGATATCTAAAGCTGTCAGGTTAGAATTTTCTGGATAAAACTGGAGATTCGCCCCAGCTCCCATTCCAATTTCCAGTATCTCCAAGGGAACTGTTCTGTTGCGATCAGACAAGCGTTCATCTAAAGGTTTCTTCATACCGACTGCAACAACAACAAATCGCATGTTGCCGAGGTTTGACGCATGCGCACTTCTCCCTTTCTCCCGTTGTTGCAACAGCCAGCAATTGCCGTCGCACTGGTTTCAAGAATTGGATTGAGTTGAATTTTCGTCGCTGTTGCAGACCCGGGAGCCAATCAGATTTGTTTTAACTCGCTACCCACAATTCCCCTGTGAAGCGAAAATCTTGAATCCATCTTGATCGGATTGTTTACACTTTTGGTAGTTTTCGATAGTTTTGTCCAGGTCATTTAATCGCATTTCTTGGATTAAATTATTAAAATGTCCCTGCTCTTTTCTTTTAAGATTTAACTCTTTCACCCATGAGCGCTGATTTGTTTTCAATAATTGTAGCAACTGAATTCTACGACGCAATAGTAATTTTTTCATTTTTTTCTTATCCATTTTAAAATACACTAATATAAAATAAAAATAACAATTAATAAGTACGTAAAATTAAAATGAATCTTTAAATGAAATTTAGAAATTAAAATGAAAAACAATGTTAATTTTGGCAGATTAGAAGAGATCGTTCGAAGCATCAAAACTTGGAAAATACACGAGAAAAAAACAGGAAAACAAGATTCTGAAGAAGAAGAAGAAAAAAAAAAGAGCTCTCGCTGTTAAATGTCTGTTTTTGCGCATGCGCGAACATGGAAACGGGTTTGTTGTATCTTGCGGTGTGAAGGTACTTGAAATCAGGTGCAACAGATTCACTGCAACAGAGGAGAAAAATCGTGTTTCGCATCGTTGTTGCGTTCGGTGTGTAGGCGCCTTTA